TCGAGTGGGGATATCTTCAGGTTTTTACATATTTTCTAGTGGCAGCATATATATTTATACTGTGCTTCTTGATGGTAGCCTCTGCTCTTTTCTAAGGTTTCAGGTAAATAACCTTTTATTCATTTTATAATTGGTACTATACCTTAGTATATCTCCGGAAGTAATTCATTTATGACACATTATAGGCAATGTTGAAATTCATTTGGCAACACTAGTTAATTGAATAATGAAACTGATGGTTAAAATGTATGGACTTTTTTAAGGTCATCTCCACCTTTGGCGATATCTCCCCTTTATAAATACAAGGAAAGGTTTTCAATTATGTAAATATGAATTTACATTGTGTCATGATATAAAAGTAGAAGTAGACATAAATATTACTTGTCTGATGAGATCACTTCAGATCAACTATATAAAACTTATCTCCTAATATTTCTATTTTAAGTAACCGGTGTAGTGAAGAATCAAAGATACAATTCATATCCGCAAGACTAAGACATTATCGAAACACCATGACTAACAATTTCGAATAGATTATGGATTCTTCTATCCTGACTCAGAAGTATGAAAGGGGTGCTTCTAGCCTAGATAAGTGTAGATAGGGAGACGGGGGTGTTGATATTATACTATGCACGCTAGCTATTCTATATACCTACCTACAGGTATAGTTCTTACACTCTTCTATAGTTGATGTAGAGGAACATCTATGATTAGACTGTTACCTAATTCTCTTTGTATTTTACTATCTACCTCTACTATGATAGACTATAAAGATTGTTTCACTATTGTAAGTGATGTTACACTATTGTAAGTGATGATTAGTCGACATGATAGACATAGGGATCTATGATGATTGGAGGATTGTATTGATCTATTCGGACATATACTTATATTTTAAGAGGCACCTCTATACATTTAGACAGATTGGTGTAGAGATGTACATAGTCACATTTATACGCACATCTATAGGTATTATTTGTCTTTATACTGCGCACATCTATCAGGATTGTATTTGTGATGAGAGATCGTAGATGGAATGGTGACTCCCCCATCTCTTAGCGGGTTCCCTGGTCAGGGATTCACGGTCTCGATGCTATGCTATGCAATTTTAGGGTTCTCATGCCAAGGAGTGCCCACCTTATGGGATAGATTAATTTTTAGTGCTCATCTACATGCACATCTATTGTTGTTTATCTATTTCTATCTGTGTAGCATTATAGATTTATTTTGTTATACTGTGCCTCTGTGGTGTTAATTGGATTATTGACCGGCAGGGATGTGATTATAGCCTTCTATGTATCTATAGGCACATTGATTGTCCTCCTATCATCTATTAAATGAAATATTTATTCTCCTGTGTATAGAGGGATGATTCACCACTATCTCTTCATCAATTATATATGTTTTATTATTGACTAACGAGCTAGGTGTAGACTTATCCTTATGAATACCCCGTAGGAGCATCGCAGATGTAGGAGGGGCATGAGACCCTCCACCATTCTGCGAAGCGCCGTCATACCCCTTCGGGGCAATGATAGGTCGCTTCAGTATTCTTCTAGTCTTCCATTCTATGTTATTTATTCTCTCGGCCACCACCTTTTTATTCGAAGGCTCCCCCTAATGATCATTCGCATGCGATATTTGTATACAAGAGTTAAGTATCTAGAGCACAAGAATATAAGTCTACCACGGTGGGCTCGTTCCGGTTACTAAGAGAATACAGGCCAACTAGAGTGTCGATGGAATCTGAGCCATCGAACACTCTCGGCGCGTATAGTGTCCATGATACACGGGGTGTATGTGGCTTACTTGCCTACGTGCAGTTTTGGACATCTGTGTCGGCTTATGCACGAGTGTGTGATATGGGTGAATCTTTCCACACCGTAGCTACCGTACGTCTCCATGTCAGCAGATACCTGTCCTCGAAGCTCACGATTGGGACTCGGGCGGGACAGAAATCTCGGGTGGTGCTAGCGGATCTATATTCCATCGATAGATGCCAGCTGTATAGAATGCTGGAAGGAAGGCACATATATTGTAATGAATAGCGTGAGTGCGCCCCATAACGTATCCATCGTCTACTAACTGGCAGCCACAACCACATACATATTACACGATGACCATACGGGTATCTGCCGAATATAAACATTACTATGGCGATACTTAGTTATATGGTTTACCAGGCAACCCTCAGTTCAGACGCTCTTTATGGGAAGGCTGCCAACAATACGGTACTCACACCCATTCCTATCTTGACAAAGAACACGCAGCTGACAGCTTAAGTTTCACATCCGATGGGTACTAGCAAGGGTGTAAGCAGGTCGGGTCTGCCATACGCTCTCGACTTTGAAAAGTATATCCATAGTACAAATCAACACGACGAACATTGGTACAAAAGCAACACTGGTATTCTAATGTAGTATCGCACAAATCAACAGTACACAAAAGAAAGCATGCCCAGGCGTGTGCACCGCGACATACCCATAGCCAAGGCCGTCCATGCGTATTTATTCTTTGGATAATGCATCTGGCGTTGGTATAACAGCCACGTACCTAACGGCACACAGTAAGGGGAATAGCTTGAATAGATTGTTTAGACCCAGTGGTGGCAGTACTCGTTACATTTTCAGATGTGCATATATCATTTCACGAGGCAGATGAGGTAACATGACATTTGCTGCAATCCAAGTAGATTCAGAAGACAGACTTGATAAAACACTTCAAATGAGAGCTGAGGTAGCACGGGTACACTACGTACATATCGGATACTCAACCATTCATGAAAAAAAGAGCCCTAATTCAGCCTACTACAACTGATATATATATATATATATATATATATATATGTTTGTGTGCGTGTGTATGTGTATGTATATGCATCACAAATAAGAATTGATCGGTGCAACGTTTTATGCTTGACGATAGGTGAAAAAAACCCCTCCCATCACACGAATAGCGATGTACAGCGAACGATCACATACGCAGTTAAATCAAATGTGCGCCAAAGTGCGACACTGAGGGCACAACCGATATAGTGCATCAAACATTTATCAACCTTATACCGATACCACTGCTAAACATAGAACACCAACACTATAACTTCTGAACATGGTATACCAACCCTATAGCTATTAAACATAGTATACCAACCCTATAAGTATTAAACATGGTATACCAACCCTATAATTATTAAGCATGGTATACCAACCCTATAACTATTAAACATCCATGGTATACCAACCCTATAACTATTAAACATGGTATACCAACCCTATAACCTCTGAACATGGTATACTAACCTACCACTGTTAAATATGGTATGCCAGCCTTAATACTTCTAAACATGGTATACCAACCCTACAACTACAAAACATGATTTACCAACTCTATCACCTATAAAAATGACATACTAACCCTACCACTATAAACATGTGATGTACCAACAGTATCACTTACAAACTTGGTGTAACAAACTTACCACTAGTTCATCAAACTTACCACTTATAAACATGGCGGACGTTCCAATAACTTTGCACTCGAAACAGTCTTTCGGCGGCGGCCTGGCCTCAGTATTTCCTCCCCGGCTCAGTATTGACGACATGTCTATCCACGGTGTAGTTATATTCATGACAAACAGGTTAAAGTTATAAATTTGTCAAAAAGAGACATTGTTTTATGCATGTCAATTAAAACACAGTTAAGTTGTATTCTCTTAATATGGGCACTTATGTTGCGTTTTAAATAGGGGCCGATACAGTTTAACTATAGTCAGTTGGAGGAATTCGCGTATTTGTTGCTACACTATGCATTAACAAGGTAGCCAACTACATATCGCCGAAGATTATGATGGAGATAAGAACATATTGCATTCTTTGAAATTAAAATTATATGTATTTTAGAAATGAAACGATCCTATACTTCGTTCGAATAGCCGCACTTCAAAACGCGACATGTAAGTCAAAATGTGCAACCTTCAGAAGGATGAATGTGCATTTACCGATTCTTATTGAGAAGTATATCAATAGTTAAATAAACTCATCGATTGATGAATGCTCATTTGGTCGAAGGACATCATGTAGACAAGGATTGTCTCCACTTCTGATCCAATAGAGATACGTACTTATAAACAGAACGACAGCACACGTATGTGTGCATCTGCAAAAAGAGGTTCGAAAGCCTTTGTAGTATTCACCAGTATTTGAGTTTATGCCCCTTCGCAGGATTCGATCTGGACAATAAATAAAGCGGATACAATACACCTTTACATCTACACGTGTGTCGTTATAATATGGAGTCATATTCCGAAATTTAAGCACCGTCTGATAGTCTACATAGTTACGTTCATACCGCTGACGAAGTCTGCAACGGCAGCACAACTAGAGCAGTTTGTGAGAATCTTGACGGCCTGGATGGATCGAATTGTGGTAGAGCTTTGTCTTGGGTCTGGCTTTATGATATAAAGCTCTAATACAAGCACGACCGTGTATGCGTTTCAGTGGTAGTCAGGTAGTGTGATACACATCATGTTCTGTTGTACTATTTACATTCATATATTTATGATTTAGCTACATCTAAATAAAGTCAATTCGGGTTGTACGCTGGACGTAAACGCAAAAAGTTTTATACGCTTTTACGTAGAAAAGTCAAACTACTCATGTCACCTGAGATCCGCACGAAGGTACCTATAGTAAATATAAATAAACGTTTTTGTTGACCTTAACGTAAAACAATTAATGCAACATAAGTTACACTTTTGCCGCCCGATCGAATTTGTCCAATAGTATCTTGTTTGCTGCTTTGTATTGGTCACAGCCACGTGCCTTATCTGATCATCGTAGCTCCTAAGCACGAACATTTCACAACCAAGCTTGGATGTGGACATTGCATAACAGTCCTGACACGGGGAAACAGTTCTACTTGCATAGTATACACAATTTTTATGCGCACATGGCGGCTCACAGAAAAGTCACACATGAGCTGCTATAACTATAAGTGAAGGATAAATATTCAATGTGCGTGTCTACATTCAAGTATGTATATACATACACGTCAGCTACATACATATATATATATATGCATACATACATTGAAGTATGTATGCGTATATAGATTTCAGCAACAGAAAAGAAGCATATTCTATTGTTTGCATGTAAATGGAATACACACTCTAATCCACAACCATTAATAAGATCAATCGAATTTATAACATCGTGACTGTGCTTTTCTTATTTCCTCCCGACTCCTTTTTCTCGCTATCATCATCTTTCGACAGAATGGTCGACATAGAGTCTGTGTGTACTCGAGTAGGCGATGGGCCTATTGAGAACTTGCGCAACGGCCTCTCCCCATGCTCGCTGACAATCGAACTCGACCGTTTGGGACAGGGCAGTACTATATCTTCCACATCTTCTTCCACATCCTTGGTCACGGTAGCACCGCTTTCCTCGTCATTGTAGGTAACTATCAGCTTCTCAGGCCTTGTACTGGTATTGGCTAGCCCAGCCAGATGCGCACCCGCCCCATTTGTAGACAGGTGACGTTTTTTATGCACATGACCTGTGACCGAGCTCTCACTGTCACTGTGTGTCCGCTTGTAACTTGCAGCCGGCAACCGCGGTTCTCTCGGGGAGGCGCTTGTATGTTCAGTATACGCTAAGGAGCTTGCACTACCCACGCTGGTCAGTGAATCTCTCGATGACATACTCAAGCTGCTTCGCCGGTCTCGTATGGCACCTACAGTCTTGAGATCCATGCTCATAATGTTACTATTGCTCACAGGGGGGAGTGTGGGGGCACTCGTACTGGCTAGGTTATGATCCAACACCAGACTCGGTGAGGAAGTGCGACGAATATGGCTGTGATCGTCGCCCATAGACGCGAAGAGATCATCCCCACATAAACTCGTTCGTTCCACTCTGCCAAAAAAAAAAATAAGAAAAAAAATGAAGCCCCATTCAATCATGTTGGTCAGTCATAGTATGATATGTAGAATATGCTATACAGCACAGCAAACACACCGTATTGGATTTTTTTGGGGAAGAGAGCAGTTTACTTGAAACACTTCACAATTATAGCCGTCATATTTGAAGATAATATTAAACCGTTGTTCCTAGCACCTCCACGCATGTTAAACCACTTGGCTTTTGCCGGGATAGGATTTACATCGATCTACACCACCTAGGCGGATGCCTGAAATATACCACACCACGAAACACCACACTAGTAATCACTCTTGTTTCAGTCGAAACACACCTTTTGTCCATATCTGTCGGCCTGAATTCAACACTCATTCGTCGATCCAACGGTACTTCTAATGAATTACGCCGTTGCAGAGTCGAGGGACTTCCGTGCACTTCGAGACTATTTTTGCGCGTCAACATTAGAGGGCTGCAATAAAACAAGAACAAAATTAGTGCACCATTACGATAGCAATGCCTTTAACATAACTAGCGACAAACTTTATATTGATAAAAGAGCTTACTTTAAATAGTACTCCCCAGGATTTCTTACATTACAAGCGTAAGAAGCCTACACTAAATATTCAACCAATCCACACACACACGCGTTTACTATGCAGACTATACATCTGGTATACGAGTTCATTTGTAGATAATATCAAGAGGTTCATTGTAGCCACTCAACGACCACAGGTATACAATTCGAACGTACAAAACACACTCAGGCCTTCACATAGCCATACGTTCATGCTTGAGCAAATGTAAACATGCAATAAAGCAGTAAATTTAGATACTTCGTATACCTTTTTACATATGTATTTATAAACGAGTAGACTATCGAAATTCGTGGACATGTACAAATAAGATATCCTTACGCATCTAAATATACAGATTCAAACACTCACAAATGTATATATCGTATAAATACAGATATATAGATAAAGATGAATAAATATAAACAAGCCCGTATATACATATACACACACGCACACAAAAAATTTATACATATATACATATATATGTTTATGTATATGTATACTTATATTTATACGCAAATATATATATATATATATATAATATATTTGTCAATAAATATATACATATATGTACATATATATGTATATTTATATGCATATATATAAATATATATATACAAACATTGTATACATATATACACATTTATACATATATACATATAAATTACAAATATATATATATATATATATATATGTACACACACACACACGCACACACACACACATATATATATATCATAGCGCACCAGAAGGTTCGTGTCACGTGATACTACTTTCAAAACTGATTGCTTCCACGCATACCTCATAACGGTTAAACTGCCCCTCCTTGGCGAAGGTGGTGTGTGGGAGCCCGGTCGGGCTTCTTCATATATATTTGCTGTTCGTGCTGCGTTCTCATGCAGCACAGTGAGCGAGGATGTAGAGAACATCTTGGACAACGATCTAGAACTCGCCATACGCTTCACACCCGTATGTATAGAGCCTTTGGTGTTGTGTTTTTCCGATGATATGCGCGATACCGCACTATTTGTTAATTCACTTATTATAGGCGCTGATACTGGGCCGTTCTTATTATTAGCAGTATGAGCTGGACTTCCGAGCTTCAATGATGGGGCATGTACAGGTGGGTTAGTGTATGTGAACGGCGGTGTGTGCACACTGTGTGCCTGTGGTTGCGAAATCGACCTCGACGTTTCCAGCAGGGTTTTGAATGAGTGATGCTGCAGTTGTTGATACTGCTGGGGCTGCTGTCCAGGTTTACTAAAACTAGAACCTTGCGATAAGCTTGAGCGAGATTTTTTTACACTACTAATATTTGTATGTGTATTCTTCTCAACCGCTCCCATATTCTTGGAATCCACGTCCTTCTCATAAAGATCTGTATTTGCTATAGAAGAGATTTTACTGTCAGTTGGTGCAGTTGTTGTCTCAGAGACGGGGTTCCTTTGCACCGGAAAGAAGACATCTGCATAACTGGATATAGTTGTGGCACTCCCATGCGATAAGCTCTGCTCTACGGCTGGGTGATCCACGCCCAGCACATCGTTCGTACTGTATGCTATACTAACCCCAGGCTCGGGCACAGAGCCTTCGGTTGTGTTCGTCGAATTCTTTTCATACATTGAACTCCTTTTACCACAGTTCGAGTCAGTGTATCGATCAGAAGATTTCGCTTGTGGTTCGTCTGTGCCTGCACATTCTGTAGTCTGCTTAGCTGGGGTTTCTGGGACTAACATGGTGCTGCTGTATGTTGGAAGAATAGTTGGTATGCGAGTGATCACGTCACTATCGAAAGCTATTTGCACGTTACCACGTCGAATATGGGTCTGCAAAGAAAACTTCGTTCTTTCTATTCACTATTATATGGATACTTGTTGTGTGTACTTCAACACACGAGCTGATATATATATATATATATATATAAATATACAGTACAGGTGAAAGGGTATGACTCTGCCATTCGGAAACATATATTGAGAATCACATTCACTTATGAAAACTTTCAAGGAGATTGTACATATGAAAGTGCACTGCATAGAGAATAGATCGCCATACGACCCGCCACCAAAACTCACGTCTACGCGAGAGAGAGAGGAGCAGCTCCGCGTCTCGCGTTTTGCAGATTCAAATAAAGCTTTCTGTGACATGGGCTGGCCAGTGGGCATTGGGCAGAGAGAGACTGCAACGTCTATTCGAGCCCGAGTGCCCGACACTCCGAGCCAAACGATTGACTATGCCAATCGCCGCGCAATATCAGAGAGGTGTGAACGTTCAACTCTCTTCCTGAGTGTTGGATTAAAAGTTGGAAGCTGAAATGTGCTTTTTGTTTTTTTTTGGTACAAAAAACTGATTTAAAAGAAATAAAATAAGGTTTCAGATGACTTTTTTCATTTTTAATAAAATGATTTCGTTTCCAAAAGTACTTCCCAGAAAAACTAAATAGTTTCAAAAAGGTTTTAAATTTAGCTAAAAAACTGAACTCAGAATTTATATTTAGTTCCAAAACGTTTGTTCCAAAACATATTTTCAAATTTTTTTAGTATTTAGCACAAGTTTGTATCAAAAAGTTAAGATAAAAAAATTGAAAACATATTATGTGTGGGGTGCTGATTGCCAAAATAAAGGTATTTTTTTCTCAATAAAAATCACAAAAAAACCCCCCCCACATCTTCTGAAATTCGAGGAGCCAGCTTGAAAAATAATATTCCTAAATGGTTTGTTTTGGCTTTTTTCAGCTATCTCGACTTCACACGGAGGGAGACACACTCCGGTTCCCCGCCATCTAAAGGGAAAATCAGATGTGAGCTAAAAACAATTCCTATTTGTTTTGAAAATCCTAAGGCCGAGTCTTAACGGGTTCGGAAATTTCCGTTCGGATATGAAATTCGGAAAGGTCAAATATGTATATTTGGTCTTTTTGGCTCAGAATAATGCCCTCAATCAATTTCTGGACTTTTCTAAAAAAATATGTAGCTTGCATTTACGTAGAATTTCATGGTTTTAACTCATGAAAACTGATTCATACCCATTGGCTGTTCGCGGTAAAAAAATTGGTAAGTAAACACATGCTCGACAGAGACTCTCTATTGAGAGGACTCAGAGGAGGGACTCACAGAGACAGAACACTCACGCTCATTATATGCGTGCAGTACATGTTACATAGTCATTTACCAGTGCGACGAATATATCGATTGTGAATGCACCTCCCTATGACTTGCAATTACGAAAGTGGTATAAACTTGTGTGTATGTGTAGTTTACCGTTTGCTTTTTACATAAGTGAGACAAAAAGTGCAGTGAACACAGTCAGAAATTACCCAAACTCACATTGCTCTCACAACCAATAAAAATTGCTTGTAACTTTGGAAAAGCACCTTTCCAAAGTACATTTATTAGCTGCAATAGCGAGTTTACGTACATATTTTTCCGATTCCCGTTTTTCCGAACAACTGCCGACTTTTCTAGGGGTATATTTGCCCTCGAAAGTCTGTCCTCGTTCGGAAATATTTTTTTCAAACTTTTCTTGAAAGTTTTAAATCCTCTTCTACCCATTGGCTAAGAAATCCGAATTTTATATCCGAACGCAAAATCCGAACCCGTTAAGACTCGGCCTTTTAATTTTGAAATGTAATCCACTTTTTATTCTCTCGGGCGGATATTATTTTTGTCGGATTTAATTTAATTTTAGATCATTGATCTTCGTATTGGTTATCTATGTGTGTGTATGGTTTTATTAGGATATATACTAATAGTACTATTATTTCAACAACATATTTTTTAATCTTTCGTTCACATTTCACACTTCACCGAGTTCATCAGAGTCAGACACGCACACACTCAACAAGAAGAGAAGAAGAGAAGATATTTAGAAAAAATAAAAATAACACAAGTCAGTGTCACAGTCTCACAGACAGTGAGTGTGAGTGGGGAGTCTGGGCCTATGGGGACTGGAGGGGAGAGTGGAACTCTGTGAAAGTCTCTCTACTCTCTCTCTCTTTACTATTTTTAAACACAAATCGGATAGCAAATTTTCACCATGCTTTTTCATAGCCTTCTGATTTCAACACTTTTTTATATAACTTTTCCGCTATTCAACATTATATCACGTTCAATGCGTCAAAAGTTAGGTGAGCTAGTTTCATGGCCAACCATGTTTCACCTTTGTATACGGCTCTAAGCGTATTAGCACAGTCGCTTGTACGGCGCGAGACACAATACATCAAGCATTTACATGTTTTGAATGGTCAATAAATCGCTTGAGTTATTTCAAATTTGATTGTTTTGAGATAAAGGGTCTCAAAAGGCTCTATCAGAACATTTACCTCACATTGGGAACAGGAATATAGTCAGTCAAATTACAGGGATATTCATGAGAATGTCAACTTTAACGCCTGCAACTTTCCGTTTGTCCAACGGATGTCTAGCGGAAGTGTTCTAAAAATAGATTTGGCAGATTTTTGCTCTGTGTGCTACAGGTTTACGTAAAATCGGTGTTTAAAAAAACAACAAAAACTCTCAGAGAGAGAGAGAGAGAGAGAGAGAGAGAGAGACTGATGAGAGAGGGGACACACCGAGTCACCGACACACTGGCACAGTCACAATCTCACAGTCATAGTCACCACTCATCTGTCATCAGATCATACTTCATCACCGATTCATCAGACAGCCAGCAAAATATATATGTACCGAACGTCACTAATCGCCCGGCTTTGTTAACTTTCGAAAAATTAAACACCTTGCTGATTGTTGGGTAAATATGTAAATATTGAGTATTGACACATACGAAAGCCGAAAAGGGCAAAAAGTTGTTGAGTAAATACTGACTGAGTAATTACATCCTCACTGTCCTCAACCGTGTCGTATATCCTGTTCTTTTTGTGTCTGAGTACATCCTCAGCTAAATATATAAATAATATAAAATTGTATGTGTCGTAAACCCCGTTCTTTTTGAGACCTCGCTAAAAAGACACATTTCAGAGCTTGGTGGGGAAGTTTTTTTTTCGGACGAGCCTTTTGTTCGAAAATACAAATAATAATGTTTGCTACGTTCTGCGTCGTATAAACCTCGTTGCAAATGGAGGGAAAAACTGCGACAGTACAGGTCTCTGGGTTCAAGTCCTTGTAACGAGTAGGTATTCTCTTCTCTAGTACATATTGTCGGTATTCTATATGTCAAACCGCCCGTTTGTGCAAAACTTTTATTATATTGCCAACGGATCGGTCTGCATTTGCGATTTTGCACCGATATAAGCGACAATGGAAACCGGAAATAAAATATCCGATATATTATTATAAATAATATCAAAGCGACGAGTTCTATAATATAATACATTATAAATACATGGGTCGGATGGGGTGCCGCTGTTATTCGAAACTATTACCAAAGAGTAGCAAAGAGTGACAGACCAAATTGAATAGCTCTTAATATTCCTCCCGCGGAAAAGTACCTAAGTGCACAGAGTGTCAGTTGCTAGTTGCTTCCCAATTCACCGGCCTTATATGCACTCATCCATCCTGAGCCATCGCTTGGTATAAGACTATACCTGGCTGTTTAGACTATTTACAATCGAGTTTTGGTCAAGTATTAGCTGGCGTAAACTGTATTGGCCTTCTTTAGTGTAACAATATTGAGTCGAATAGACGACCAAGCTTGCGATAGATATCAGTCTATTTTGTTTACAGAATTTGTTCGAGTAAGGCGACATTACAGTACACATATATATACACAGTCTCCGACATCATCTGTAGCCAGTTACTGGAAATACAATTAGTCACCTTGGCATATTCACAATGAATCAACTACCGGATGAGAACGATCTCCGAGGCTCCTCGCCCTTCAAGGAAGCCTCCATGACCGATCCAAACGGTTCTGTAGCTGGGTCTATCCCTGAGCAGTTCTCGCATGCACTCGCACTTGCCAGTGCAGTTGCTTTGGTGCCACCTCAGGAGCCTGGAAGTGTGGTAGTGGTTCCTCAGCAGCAACAACAGGTGCAGCAACAAGCCCAGCAACAGCTGATGCAGCAACATGTATGTTCCATCTCGTCTTTTGTCTTCATCGTAATTGATATATTTGTTATACTAAAGCGGAACGGACGTAGCTTGTATTATTCACATAAATCGGGTGTATACTTAGCACGGTAGGTTCGAACTTTTATCTCGCGACTGTCACACTAACCTGACAGATAGTATATCATGTACGAGTCTATGGGCCTACATTTAGGGTTATCCAGTCTACCCTGCGTTCTGTATATATATATAATTTTTATTGTATTGGCAACCACTGTAAGCGCCGACTGAGCAACGATCACACCACAACGGTACAAGTATAAAATGAGCTCTTTAGTCAAGTCAAACCTATTACGAGCTGTGTCGGTGTCATGAGGAACAATTACAACCTACTTTAACATCTTGGTTAGGTGTGAATCAATTGTATACTGATAGTCGTTTTCCTTGCTGCCCCTTGTCTCAGCAGCAGGAGGCCAACCGTGATCAAGTGTCGCAGTCTTATGACCAGGCGCAGCGAGAACTGATGCTACACTCGGTATGTCTTGTTGAGTGTTTGGATGTCATCCTTGTGTATACCTCAACCTAGAGTAGCCAAATATTGTCGCAATTACACTTTGTCGACTTCGAGGTACAACAATCGTTTTGTGCCCGTGTACTCTACTGTTTTTGACTCACGTCTGTGCCCATTGCCGAAAATAACAACTGTTTCACCTTCTATTGCCAAATGCGTACTCGTTGGTCTATAATTGAGTCCAAAAGTTTGTGCAAGTGAAAATAGTACAAAATTTCGCATATGTTCGTACAGCTTGATATTAGAATGCTCACCATTTGTACGCCCTCACTTCAACAGCAGCAACAACATCAGCAACAGCAACAGCAACAACAACAACAACAACAACAACAACAACAACAACAACAACACCAACAAGCACAACAACAAGCACAACAACAAGCACAACAACAGCAGCAACAGCAACAGCAGGTGCAACACCATCAGCAGCAGCAATTGGCTATCCAGGCACCATCCCAACCCCAGCAGCAGGTGCCCATACAGCCTCCTCAGCACGTTCAACCGCACGTCGGTCGGGTGTGTTGATCGTGAGCTGTGTTGTTTTGAATGTGTGTGTGTCTATGCGCGTGTATACGTATGAATATGGATATGTGTACGCACATGTATATCACTCTATGTATGAATATACGGATGCGATCCAGGACTGTACTTACATAATTGAAATAGTCATGAAGAGCGGTGAGACAGACTTATGGGTTCTCACTTCCATCTGTGCTTCGGATTGAGAGTATCTCTATACCTCTCGTGTATGGGTGGATATACGCCACGTGTTTTCTTAGCACGTTGTCGTACAATAAGTACCAGTTCCCCCACTCAGTGACATTTTGTGGTTCGGACACCATGTTTCAGTGCTGCTTCGAAAGGTAGTGTGTTCCGTATCTAAAGTTAGTAATAATGATTCGGCCTGTCCATAGTTAGCACTGTTGATTTGGATTAGTTCTTATTAGTATTCTGGTGTCGTCTCAAGGTTGTTGTGTGATGAGTTTCTAGGAGTATACTTGTGCTTTAATGTCTGCGGTGATTGAGACCTTTGTGAACTACCAGAGAAAAACTATTTTCATCTCACCCAATGCTCGTACTTATGGGTTTCGCCCGCACAGATTGAATGCAGTGCACACTGTAGTTTCGAATATGCGGCGCCTCTGCATGTTATAAACGAAACGCTGTTTGTTTAGGGTATTCATTTTTAATACATTCTACGGAATCGGTAGGCTGATTAAAGAATGTCATAATCGTGCATTAAATAAACCCAACCCACATCACACGCGCCCACGCATGCATACAAACAGATACACTACAAATATGCATACACTTATGCATATATATATATATATATATATATTATACATATATTATATACATATATTATATACATATACATATACATACACACACATGCATACACACACACATTTATATATACATATATATAAATATTTATACGTACATACATACATGTACATGTACTTATGCATATACATATACATATACATATACATACATATATAAATACATACATACATATATAAATACATACTTTGTACCTATGTGTGTATATTGTATTCAGTGATTAGTGCGTATATGTACGAATGCGTCTCTTGGGGGGCTGAAACTTACATACAACATTCCCTCCCAATCAAAAGGAAATACAGAAGCAAGCACGAATGGTAGGGCGACCGCAAGCCAGTGTACGTATGCACACAACCGAGACAGAAACCAAGACGGCTTGTGTATACTGTGACACACAGTACGCGAAACGTACCAGCGCCGCCCGATGGGAGGAGCATCTGGCCTATTGCGAGAAGGCACCTACAGATGTGAACATTGAGTTCCGGGTAAAGAACAACCTGGATGAAACTCCGGGCAAGCGCAAGAGGGGTGCGCACAGGAATAGTGAGGACGATGGCATGGGCGGTGTACTGGCGCTGGCGGACCCTGTAAGGAAGAAGAAGACGCACTTCACTTCAAATGGTGTGTCATTATTCCTCATAGTGTGGAAAGCATTGTGTTTTGCTTTAGACGATATTTGTGAGAGTGCTCGTCTTCCTCTATGGATAGAGTGTCACAATCACCAGTAAAACAAGCACGCTACTATTGATACCCAGTGTTTGACATTGTTGTAAAAGACATCGTTGGGAAATTGTTGTAAAAATTAACAATATTTGTGGGACAGTTCAGTCGGTCTTAAAACCAGAGGAGCATGTTGTCGACTGTCACTGATATCAGTCCCGTCTATATGCATGTAGTTAAAATGTCGCGACCGCATGAGAGTTTGTTGCCCAAGGGGTGGCAATCAAAGGTCACCGATTGGTTGAAGGAGGACGCCCCAACTTTTGATTTTGGAGGATTTGTTGTTGGGACCAAACCCGAGGAAGCGAGTCTGTATTGTAAATCAAAGGTACGTTATTCCGTTCAGATACACAACCTATATATGAATTGATGTATTTTTTCATATATATATTTATATATATACACATACACACATATATATATACATATATATATATACATATATATATTTATACGTATATAAATATGCATATACTTGTACCTGTACTTGTATTTATACAGACACGCACACACACACACACACACACACATATATATATATATATATATATATACATAAATAAAGGGTATATATAATAGATTCATGGATATTTACAGTCTTTTAGGTCTGTTTATGTATACTTATATAAAGACACACACACACACACACACACACACACACACACACACACATGTATATAGGTTATTTACATATAGATTATGCATATCAGCATATTATATTATCATTGTAGCATTTTTTGTTGTTGTAGGCGTATGTATTGTATATGTCTTCTCATATGCCGCATGTGTGTATCTGTCTACATGTACACAAGGTCACATATTACTGAATCTGGTTTTGTATATTCTCATGTATGCAGGTTATATACGTGTACATATCATCGACATTTAGATACATATTGTCCGTGGTTCAGCTTGTACTTCTCAAGAACGTTAGTTATGAATTTTCAACACTTCCCAAAATGTGCCAACTAGGTTGGTATTGTATTGGCTCAACCCACTTCTGTGCTCATATTCTCCAGGGAGTGCTAGCCGGCGTACCATTCTTTGATGAGGTCTTTCGCCAATGTCATTGCTTGTAAGTACCGATTTCTTCTGTTACCAATTGGTTGATGGTCAATATTCGTGATCATATATAATACCCTTTTGCCGCCAATGTCATTTCTTTGTAGCGATTCGTTTGTAAGTCACCTGTTGTAGTGTTCTGCATCGTTGTCGTTGTGTTGTATTGTCACTCACATGACTATAATTACGGATTCTTTTGCTACAGAGTCAAATGGGAGTACACCGAGGGCGACTTTCTCGATCCCACAGAGTTTCCACACGGCAGGTTTGTCGTTGCAAAAGTGAGAGGTGCCGCCAGAGATCTTCTTATGGGTGAGAGAGTAGCCTTAAATATGCTGGCCCGTGCAAGTGGGATTGCTACGGCGTAAGTTATTTATACAATGGTGGCGTTATGTTTAGGTCGTCCCGATTATAGTCAAATATCTGTGACTATATTCAATGACACATGATAGTTATCGATTTTGTGTTGTATGAGCTGGGGTTGTCGCGGTTAAACTTCATGTCAAGTTGATGGTGGCCATGCGCATGCTGTCATACGCAAGTGGTTTTGCCAAGGCTCGAATTTCATATTCAGAATCGTTGGTGTATCAGGTGGTATTGTTTGCAGGCAGATAGGTGATATCAGTATCATCATCAGCTGCGAAAGCGTTATGGAAGCAAAGTGCGGAGTCACACATCCAAACTTGCTTTGGTCGCTCACATCTGTATCATAATGCTTCCATGACTACTGCATAGGGCACGCAAACTATCGGAAATCAAACGTCTGCACGAATGGAAGGGACAAGTAGCGGGGACCAGGAAAACAACGCCCGGGTTTAGATTGGTAGAGAAGTACGCCATGCTGATCGGTGGGTGCGATACGCATAGAATGGACTTATCCAGTATGATCATGCTGAAGGATAATCACATCTGGAGCCAGGGATCTATATCACAGGCTGTAAAGAAGGCGAAGAGTGTGGGCGGGTTCGCGATGAAGATCGAGGTCGAATGTCAGAGTGTGGACGAGGCGAGGGAAGCCCTGAATGCTGGGGCGGATATTGCTATGTTAGATAACTTCCAACCACCCGCGCTCACAACTGCAGGTATGCCACTGATTCGATTTTGTTTTTAACGTATACGTTTGAATTTATGTTGGATTTTCATTATATATATATATATATATATATATATATATTAATATAGTTTTTCGTAGCATACATATCTATGTTGGGATATCCTTGAATATGTGGTGAGTATTATTATGAAAAGTAGTTTCCAACCGGCAGCCTCATAATTGCAAATATGGCACAAATTACGTATATGCGCATCTATGTGTACATTTGTTATGTTTATGCGAACATGCCACAAGTTACGGTAAATTTGTATATAGAAGGCTATGTTTGTTAAATTATAGGAAGACACTCGCGCCTGTGGCTCTCCAATTCAGGGACAACACACCGAATCAGAGTTTTAAAATATTCGCGATTTTCATTGCCGATATGTGGAACAATCTGAAGGAATCAAACATTCTCAACGTGTGTGCTGTATATATTTTGTACTTTCGAATAAGAAGAACTTTTGGAGCCACTCAAAACCAGCGACCTGATTTATAAAATACCTAAATACTTGTTCCGCTTTGTTGTGGAGTCATTGACCTACATATTTTACTTTGGCGTATACCCTCTATTTATTTATCCTTGCTATAATTTTGTGCAGCCGCAACGCTGAAAGCTGAATATCCACATAGACTGATCGAAGCCAGTGGAGGCATCACAGAACAATCAATTGCGAACTACTTTTGCAAAGGTATCATACTGCAGTCGTTCTATGTCTGATGATTGTCTGGTTGTGTGCTGCAATTGGTGACCTATGTGAGGGATTTTTATTTAGTGCGATCATGCCGTTCTCAGATGCTCGTCTTGTTGTGCTGAATTGGTGACCTATTTCAGCGATTATCATGCCATTTTCTGATGGTAGTTTTTGGTTGTGTGTTGCGATTGGTGACTTCAAGAACATTTTCATTTGCTCAAGTTATGCGCGTATTGTATATGTACTTGCGGTATTTGAAGCAAATTCTTTCCGCTCTCAAGTCAAATGTTGTTTACCCGTAAGTTCAATTGTCACCTAAAGCATTTTTTTCTCACTCGAACAGATGTGGATATTATTAGTTTGGGTTCCATGACTCAGGGTGTCGCGTTTGTAGATTTCAGTCTGAAAGTACGGCACTGATGCGGTCACGATACGATTCATAATATGGTAAGAACTCTCATATGTGCTTATCCCCTAACCACACCGTTGTGCATGTAGACACGAAGCGAACAATGTTCTGCGGATAACGATATAGCTTCGGTCCCATTTGAGCTTTGCTTGTACCCTGCAGTATAAACTTCGACTCAGCGCTCATATAACAAAATTCCGCCAAGGTTGTTTCATCCACTGTACTTGATGCCAATGTGGTCTGATATGAATCGAGTTGTTGTCTGCTATGTGTACATGATCTGATCGTTTGTGCTTTGAGCTAGTGTTGCACTCGTCTGGATTAATTTATGGCCATGCCTTTTCACTATGTATATAATGATTTGCCGTGCTCTCGAGTTCGTATTGCATTCGTCTACAATCATGTGATGACGTGAATGGCGCCCCACCAGTGTTAGCGCCATGTTTACGCAAAGTGCCAATGGCTTTCAGCAACACATAATTTCAAGAACTGGCATATTCCAGCGTCCACTCATACAAAAATCCTTGTGATACCTGCGCATGAGTACTGATATGATGTCTCTCCTTTGCTTCTTGGCCTACTGCAGTTCCATCCCAGTCACAATTCACCAATGAGTGCACGGTCTTCGAAGCTTGGAAGCCTAATCGTGCAGAGCCACGGACATCCTTGGAAGAACTCTTATGCATAAACCTTGGCATGTGAAAGTATTGTACGTATGTGTATTCGCAAGTTCGCATTCAGAGACCATCCCAGCGGCTAGGAGATGACGGGCACATAGTAGGTCATTGAGACCTCATGGCTCAGCAGGAACAGTATGACCGCCCGGTGTGGAACTATACCTGTGGTTTTGGGTAGTACCACGGGGGAAATCGAAGGAATGTCATATGTTAGCATATGTGAATGAGAGCTGAAACCACACCTGTCTACGGGAAGATAGTGAGATAATTTTTATAAACACAGCGTGAGCGGGAACACTATTCATGCTCTGAACTCGCGTCTGCCTTATATCTACGTACATGACATAGTGCAATGGTCTGCCAGGCAGGCATGTATGTAGTCGAATGAAGTATGGGTTTGAGCCAGGGCCATCCCTATATTGCACTTAAACCACACAGCGGTGAGAACAACAACGGCTGATGTGGGAATAATTTAGTAAGGACCACCGATTCGTAACATCTTTGTTTGAATAAAACGCAGAAAATTATATATTGCTTATTTTACTGGTGGGTTGGAATATGCATTGGCTCTTAAAGCCTTTAATGTATTTGATTTAATTTATTTACCTCGCATTGTCGTCACACACCAACTAATAGAAGGATTCATCGAGAAATTTATCTCCTAAAACATTCCCAAAAAGTGCATGATACCTTAATAGATGGACATCACGCACAAATGATTACTCGACACATAAAAAACGCACATATGCAAGTTTCGGTGGTATGTGACCACCAGAGACTGGGAGGACTTGCTGATATTAATCCAAGCCCCACAGGCAACCCAATGTGCATAGCTCACATGTCACATGTCAGTAAATATACAATTACTTGGACATGAAGTTGACAGAAGGACATCACGCAGATAAACAATAGTAACTACTTTACATCTGTCACACTTACTGCAGATAACGGCGGTAGGTGACATCTGAAAGCCGACCAAAAACTGGGAAAACTTTTTGATATCGATCCGAGCCGATACGAAAACGTCGTCTGCTCTAGTCTGCTCTTCTGCGTCTGGACACCACACGGAGATGAAGTGGATGAATGAAATGCAATACGCCACAGCACAACTTGGAAGGTGGTGTGGATGAATTTTAATGCAACTATTTTTACGAGTTGATAATATATAGATTAAGCCCGGAATAATAGTTGTCATTTTATATTAGGTTTCTCAAGATCGCAATCCTACAGACTTTGGAATCTCACTCAGTGTGATAAATGTGTGCACACTCACGGCATCCGACTCGATCAGCAAATATCTCTCGTAATTTTATAATCTCATGTCAATATCCCTTATCAGTGAAGTCAAGAGTATGACTCAATTATACTACACAATAGTACCGTATGCTATCATACATCCCAGCAGACTTTAAGAATTTCATACTCATACAGAACGGTACATGCCTCAATCGAGTATACATACCCATGCCATTAAAGCGATAGCTGTCGATTAGGCCGCCGATGTCAATTACCGAAGCACTTGAGAGAAAACTCACTCCCTATATATCATGAAGCCAGTATGCAATAACCTACCAGTAGACTTTGGAATCTCACATTCTGTGACAGATGTGCACACACTCACGGCATCGGCCTCAATCTGCAGACGAAGCTCGCCCTCGTTGTTGGCTGATAGCACCACGTACTTGTCCAATGTCTTCATGCGGTCGATGATAGTGCTGAGAATCTTGAGACTTGGCAGGCATATGTTGATCTGAAGTACCACCGAATTGCGTGGTAACATGTTATTTTATATATGTAAATATATATATATATATATACTACTATATACTATATATATATATATATATATATATATATATATATATATATATATATATATATATATATATAACACAATAATATATATATAACATATACAATATATATCGATATACATATGTCCATATATACGTATACACACACACACAGAGACAGACACATATATACATATACATATCTACATGTACATATGCATACACACATACACCCACATGTATATACATTATATATATATATATGTAAATTGCTATAAATGTCTATGTAAGTGACCAAAACGTGACCACCACTCACATACATCAGGCTGAGGTAAGTCAGGTTCGCAGTAGTTGGCGGTCAGTTCATGGCTGAGTAGCGCAACTGGCACATTCTGTATCACAGTACGCTCGGCGGTTCGACTCTCCTACAAGGACAAGGATAAAGTGTACTTTGGGTTGATCAGATTCAATATTGGTGCAATATGTAATAATATCCAATCAAGTCAGGCGTTACAATTATTTTAGTCAGATTTCGGCCCGCTTGAACAATCAATGGAGTAAATATGTATGATCGTATGTAGATTCCCTCAACTGGAAGAACTGTAAGAGATCATCAGTTTGATTAGTCGGCTTAAACACCTATTATTACAAATAAAAAAAGTGCATACATTGTCCCCACACTGATAGTCAAAATCTGATAGCTAGAATCTGACCAACTTGAACTCAAAACTAAAAAGATACAAACGAGCATACATATATTCCCAACAGATTACCAATTTGATAGTCAGAGTCAACGCGGGTTGGCCCCCGTCACCTGTCAAACGAAAGACCACATCGTTAGACGCTGATGCCGATCTGAGTGCCCTTTGCAGATTTTCGAGCCCTATCTCCATCAATATCTCGTTGTTTGGGTGTCGGCTTTCGATTTGGAAGCTGTCGAAAATAGTTTCCTGTACAGTCCAGTATAAGAGTGGGGTGAGATGTGGAAGGTGGAGCTATACGTCTCATATATTACTGTCCTTATTAGCATTTCGTTAATGGGAGGTGGGCTTTAGAATTGTAAGTTTTCGAGGATGATATCCTGTGGATTCATAGCCGTGCTTGAAAAATAATTAGAAATACGCAAGCGTTGAAATACAGAGCACGGAGCAAGGCGTACATACCTACAATACTTAGACGCACAAATTCTTAATACAAAGCAACAGTAGGACACACACCGGTGATAAAAACATACACATGGAAATGCGCTAATTATTCATATACAGGCATAACAACTCAATGGTTCTTATGAAATCGGATGATAAAGACATACCGCTTCAACCTCAGCCCACACCCTCACACTGCCATCGGACACATCAGACGCCACCAAGATGAAGTAGAGCTTGCCTGGGGCCATGCGCAGGGTCGCATCTTTGTTTATCCGCGATATTGTGGTGATAAATCCTGTACAATGTTTCACCATGAATTGAACAATCAGTGGGTAGCGTTTGACAGGAAGATTGAAGCGGTGATACATCCTATAGCGATTTCATACCGTGAATTAAACATGAGCACTACCACTCAACGATAGCGATCCCTAGCCAATACTAATTGAGTCGTGAGGTGCTTGATCGGTGTTCAAACTAATTTGATATGTTGAATACAAATGAGACTCTGCTTTTTATACCTTTATAAGCGCTGCGTAAATACGTAAGAAAGAGCGTTTATTATCCAAATATGGAAGCTACTTTAACCTTTTTGGTACCCTCCCTTATACACAACTAAGTGTCGCTAAGATGTTCATTCAAAGGTGTGCTGTGCCTGTATACAATATAGAAATAACACTTATCTCCAAGCTCTAAATCATGGCACACGACCCACTTATAACGGTTCCACTCCCCCGGAATACACTTGCAATGCGCCTTGGGCACAGCCCTAGGTAGCTATATATGAATGCACACAAAGGACTTCCCTTCGAAAACTAAACAAAGGCAATAATGTACATACTCATGGTACCTGCATGGAAAGTGGCTATAAAGGGGGATAGGCACAGGCATTCAAACTTGCCAATATATAGAAAAATGGCAAAAGTATGCTTCCGTACAGACTTGCGTGTAAAATAAATACACAAACAAAAATTTGAATATCAGTACCACATTCTGTGTGTATTGGAAATACTGAGAGAAGGATGAGCATTTATGCTTAAAGACTGGTGACGTTATCGTACACATGAAGAAGTAAACGCATCGAATCCAACTTACGTGTGAAAAGGATAAACAAACAAGGGTGGATCTTAGTGCAAGCCATGGTGTATTAAACATATTGAGTAGAGAACTGAAAAGTAAGGATGCTGTGGATAAAGTAAAAAGAATGAACACAACGAGTACAGCTTACGTGCGAATTGTATATAAGCCGAGTTTGAATCTTTGGGTAATGTTACGTGTGCGTTGAAGACGAACTGAAGGGTTCTGTGCGCATAGTTGATAAAAATACACATATACATCCCACCTCACGTGGGAGATAATAGTATTCTACACGCAATATAAATATACAAGACACCGAGTTGAAATTACGTGTAAACCACTGCACTTGAGAATCGGCCCTGATTGTGGCCTTAAATCTCGAGATGATAGTACTGTACACGAAATACATATTAAGACACCGAGTTGAACTTACGTGTAAACCGCTGCACCTGAGAATCGGCCCTGATTGTAGCTTTAAATCTCATGTTGACTTGTTTATTATACGTGCCAGCTAAGTTATATCAGTGCACATTGCAGTACTATACACAGGACATACTTATGCTTTCGTATGACTGAGGCTATCCATACATAAGACTGAAACTATGTCAGCGATATGTGATGTATTCACTCGCGCTCTGTGGCTACGATTATATCCTTCAAAAATGAGGGTGAAAATAGTACTGTGGGCGTCCACTACTACGTTTGTAACTATAATGCTGTGCTGTGTACTACCACGTCTACGATTGGTCTTCTACTACAACATGTGCAAGTATTAAATCGTAGGATCCAGACTATCCTATCTGACTTTAAGGTTCATGGAATTAAGCAAACCGCCCAAGGACTTCATACTACACATAGACACTGTACACTGCACTGTACAACTATACAACTACAGTGTATCCTATGTGTCTATAAGCTTCATGCGATTAAGTGGTACCATCAATAGTCTTCATGCTACATAAATAAATACACAGTACACTGCACGACACGCTACACAATTATTTAACTTCAGAGGCAGAAAGCCCGCCAAAAGTGAAAGTATTTATAAATTTATGACGTAACAGTTATTGTGGTATCAGATCTTTTCTATTATCTCTATTATCACATATTTTTTTAATGGTGGGTGGGTCATGATGGATATGTTTGTTTCAGTCTTGCAGATAACAAGGTAAACATTTAGAAGCAAAGGAGAAGACACAACACGATCTGGGTTTCTTTATATTATAGCGTAGACTGCAAGACGAGATATAACACCCGCATATTCTAAATCGGGGTATAGCAGGGTTAGGAATAAAGTATCACATTTTATCATGGCAAACCCGGAAGCTGATGAAGGCAGTAGCAGCGCCATCAAGGTACTACACGAAAATTAGCTATTGCGTGTGAATTGTATTGTTACTGAGGCTGAATGCAGGTGTGTGTGTTTGTGTGTTTGTGTGCGTGTTGTTTAGGTGTGTTTGTGTGTCTGCGCCTGCCTCTACGTTTGTGTCTGTGACTAGCAGACCCGGAAGCTGATGAAGGCAGTAGCAGCGCCATCAAGGTACTACACGAAAATTAGCTATTGCGCGTGAATTGTATTCTTACTGAGGCTGAATGCAGTTATTTCTATAGATATTTATACACACACACATACATGCACACACACACACACACACACACATACATGCACACACACACACACACACACACACACACACACAT